CTATAAAAACATTTTTAATTGGGGAAAAGGCGAAATTCGACAAGATAGTAAGATGCATGTATAAATAAATCCAAGAGTTAGGAGGAATGTCGTTGTCACAAAGGTTTTGGAAAGATCCTTGATTGGACCCCACACGGGATTTTCTTATAAAATATCTCTTAAAATGATTTTTGCCATAATCTTGTATACTATACATACTCTTATCACCGGTTTAATCTTCAACAAACTTACCTGGCTAATTATTAAATACTGTTTTTTTAATAAAAGTGTATTTTTTGGAAAACTAAATCGTGTATTATCTAATACTTTTATTATAAACTCTAATAAAACTAAATCTATAACTTATACTTTGAATAATTGTTTCGTTTTAACGTTTTCGTGCTATGTCTACGCCTCAAACATAAATTTTTCTTTAAAAAAAAACAGTTGATGTTTTTTAATGGATAAATCATATATACAAGAATTGCAATTTCAGCAACGATTTATATCACCGTGTATGTATGTATGTATGTATGTATGTATGTATGTATGTATGTATGTATGTATGTATGTATGTATGTATGTATGTGTGCGCGCGCGCGCGCGCTTTGAAAGAGAACGACAGCTAAAGACAAACTTGGAGATGTCAAACAGACAGAGAAATCCCCTGTTTTAAAAAAAAAAATTAATTCATTAAAATTGGTTAAAGTGAAACATTTAGCACTATCCATCTATCTCTCGCATTCATTTTTTATTATTTTATTCATTTGATCCTCTATGTGTCATAACTGTTTCCAATTTATAAATATTTTTAGTACTGCCTTTTTTTTATATAACCTTTTTTACTATAGGTTTTTAATAATTAACCTCGCTTCAACCATTGGTTTATAGAATTTAATGATAGTTAATGCCAATGGACTGCTGAATTAATACTTAATACTCCATCTGTTTCAAAATAAATGTCTGTTTTAGATTTTTTTAAAAATATAAAAAAATTCTCATTAAATCACATTTTCATTAATATTCTATTGAAGTTGGATATTTAAAATTAAGGACAAAATTGAAAACTTTACTAAAAAAAATCACCTGGAAATAATATATATTTAACAACGATTTTCTTAAATGACTATGTTTAGAAATGCAAAATATCTAATAATTTAAAAATGGGTAATTTTCGTGCCCTGTTTCAAACATTAATAGTATCTATAAATCTATATGAGGCGTGAGAAGTAAAATGAAAATAGATTAAAAAAATATTACATAATAGTAAAATAAAGAAAAAGGATTTAAAAAAATAAAATATGAAAGGGGTTCACCGCCCAAGCTTGCGGGGAAGGTGGTGGGACCAAAGGAGTGAGAGAAGTAATGATGAGGTCCGCCCCATCAGCGGCCGACCCACCACCGTCCTACGTGGACTTCTCCTCTCCACAAAAACCCAATTTTATTTGCAAGAGAATCACCGAAAACATTAATAATTTTTTTATAATTAATATATCTCAATTGTAATTTTAACGAAAACTAAATCCTTTAAATATTATATCGAAAGTATATAATTTTTACGATTGTTTTCCACTAAAAAAGACATTAATTAAGTTTAAAAAAAGAATTGGAATATTTTTGCTATAACTATACTTTAAATATTCATTATCATATCTTATTTATATAGACCACTTTTGGCGCGCATGCATAATTACCATAGTTTATTTCGTCTCCTATATATATAATTTTTGTAAATACATAAAAATAATAACATACAAATCTTGTTCCTTACGAACATGTAATAATAATATGGTATGAATACAAAATTATTGAATTCTAAAAAGAATGCAAAAATTAATATTGGAACAAAATTTATTTTTTATAATCAAATAAAGAGTTCATATATATCAATTAAATGGTAAATGAAGAAAAAAAAAGATGAAAAACAAACGAAAGAAATTCAAACCATACATAATTTTTGAATTTTAGATATTTATTCGTACAATAGATATGAATGTTATATAATCAAAGATATTAGACGTCAGTTAACAAAATAGAAATATATTACACCTCGGAGTATAAAATTACCATTACGGATAAATGTAAGGCGGCATGCTTTTTGAATATATACGAGATAATATTTTTATTTTAATTGTAAAAGCCAAAAATTATCAAGGGAATAAAATGTGAAGTGACACGTGCATGCACGTAAGCCTCGTTCCGAAAATATTTGTCAACGGCATATTAGGTTTCGTGAAAAAGAGAAAAAAAAATTGGAATAATGGTGATTTCGAGTCATGATCACAGAGCCTGCATTTTTTTTTTTTGATAATCGAGAGGTTCACCTCGGCCTTCGGCCCAACCTACATTCCCTCAGATCTGAGAGCAGCCTTTAGAGGCCCGGTGATAGAGGCCCAGAGAGCAACCCCCTCCCAACCGAGAAAACACCCCCTCCCTCCCCAGCAGCTGGATTCGAACTGGTGACCGGGGCTCCAAGAGCAACACCCTTTCAACCACTCGCCCACTACTTACTGGGTCAGAGCCTGCATTTTGCAACTTTAAATCATAATAATCCGTAACCATTCCCTGGTCCACGTCTTTCTTCCCTCCTTTATTATCATATTATTGTCCATTTTTGTTGGGCTCTAATCGAATAGCAAAATTTTTAAAATAATTATCACAAAAAGCTGTTAGAAAGTTTGTATAAACATATATTTTAGAATTTATATTCGTTTTAGTAAAAATATAGGTATAGTATAAAGACGCATGTAATGAGAATATTTTGCAAATTCCCGTAATTCGAAAACAGTTTTTAACATAATTCATATTCAAGGTAATGTTTATATATATATATATAGGTGATAAACATTTATAGTAAAAATTGAAGAATTGATCTATATATAATTTAGAGTACATCTTATCCTATACTAATTATTGCAAGTCTATAAATTAAATATTTATATCAAAACTGTGTGTGTGTGTGTGTATACAGAGATGCAAAATAAATGGTGAAAAGAGGTATATATATATATATATATATGTAAATCTATTAAATTACATATGATCTCTTAATACCTGAAATATCTCCTCAATACAGATGGATTTGATTTTTCCAATAAAAAATTATTAGGTTTTTTTTATATATCAAATCAAGAATAAGCGTATGTCGACCACTTTGATAATAAAAAAGAAGAAAAAACGGACGATAGTCTCTGTAAGAATATTATAGATATAAGATTTACATTTAACCAAAAAAAAAAAAGAAGAAGAAGAAAAAGCATCTAATATTTGTATAGGTTTCGGTCCAATCAAGATCAACTTATTACACAAATTTTAATTATTACATATATTCTGGTCACATGTCGTCTTTTATTATCGACATTCTACCTAATATAAGTTACATCGTGTAATTAATTAAGGATGATTTAAACAAATCAAATCGTATGGTTAATTATATTATATATAAACATTCGATAATTATGTACGAGTTTTATTATGTTATATGATTATAAATAATATATTCTTTTTTTAGATATATATGTATGTAAATTTGGAATGTACATAGTACATTATCATTGAAAAATCACGTATATTATGTAACTCGTTACATAAAATTTAAAAATGAGAAACTTTCAATCTCAGCCACCTCGTATTATTTATATAACTATGACTACAAAATGTCTTATATGTAATATAGAGTAGGAAAAAAACCCTAAAAATTTATGAACTTATATTTTGGAGTAATATTAATTCCTAAACTTGTAGAGGTGTCTATTAATTCTCAAACTTGCAAAATTGAACACGTTAAATCATGAACTTGTTAAACGGTTCCATAATCATCCATAGCGTTATTTGGTCAAAAAAAAGAGTTGACTGATCCGACGTGGCATGTGATGTGACGGTAATTTTCTGAGTTGGTTCGCCATGTTACGCACCACGTCGGATCGGTCAACTCGTTTTTTTGACCAAATAACGCTATGGATGATTATGGAACCGTTTAACAAGTTCAGGATTTAACGTGTTCAATTTTGCAAGTTTGAGAATTAATAGACACCTCTACAAGTTTAGGAATTAATATTACTCCAAAATACAATTAAAAAATTTTTAGGGTTTTTTTTCCTATAGAGTAATACAACTAAATAATTTAATGTACGATCAATTTATCTATTACCAATTAGCTTTAAAAGAAATGTGAATCAATAATAGAAAATTTTCTTTTTTAATAATTCAAATCGATAAAGTGACAATTCTCGTATATTATTATTATTGTTGTTGTTATTATTTTCCTACGGATATATTGGGGGAGCTTGTGTTTGCATATATTATTAGTATTTTGCTTTGTTTATCTTCTACGTAAAGAACATAACCAAATCCACCAACCGCTGAAGGCCACGTGGCTCTCGAACTCCTCGCTTCTCGAGAGTACTTGTCGCGAAATCATTGGGAGGCCGTAATGGATAATGCAATTGACTAATATACCCTTGGTTAGACAGATTAACAATAATGCTAAGGGTATTTTGGTAAATTGAAAGATGATGTGAAACAGGCGGTCGGTTTCACGTGGAGAAGGGACAAATACACGTTGTGTGCCAGCGTGGCATTTTCGGTGTGTCAGAATGTTTTGCAACACTTAAAACAGTGACTGCAAAATATTGGCTTTGCGTTAGTGAATAATTTAGAAGTTAATCGAATGTTTTAGTGAATAATTTAATTGAGTTTATTGAAGTTTTACTGATGTATTTTTCATAAGATATCTAAAAAATTCAAACGTGAATTTGCCCTATTTATCAATTAAAAGCCAATGCATCGAAGTTTTATCCTTTTTCTTAAAACTCGGCATATACATATAATTGTTGAATATTCAATTATTGGAAGAATGTAAAATAAAACAAGGGAGGGATGACGTAAGCAAATGGGGGGACATAGAGAAGGCCATGCGCAATTGAGCGGTCCACACTTCTCTCCCTTCCCTGCCTTAACCTTTTAGACTTCTGCTTATGATATATCCTCTCTCTCTCTCTCTCTCTCTCTCTCTCTCTCTCTCTCTCTCTCTCCTCTTATGATATATCATCTCTCTCTCACTCCCTCTTTCACTTCAAGAACTCACCCCAAGAAGAAACTAAGATTATATAATCTCTCTCGATCTCGATCGTTATCTCTCTGTTCTTCGTCAGATCTTTCTTCTCGATTTCTCTCTCACCCGTGTTTCGTATACGTTGTCCATGGCCATCTTTCTCTTTTAAAATTTCGATCTGTTGTTAATTTTTCATCTTCTGCTGGAAATTATCATCACCAAGATACTCTATAAGTTCGTATTCGATATCGAAGAAAGGTAAGAAAGAACACGTTCATATGTTCACAAAGGGTTTCAAGAACTCGGAAACTGAAATACCCTATAGCTTCTTTTTTTTGTAATGATTCATTCATGTGTGTTTTTTGCTTCTCTTTGTTTGTTTTTATCATTTGCATACACACTTACATATATATACACAGACACTTGTGTCTTTGATCATTTTCTCTTTGCGGTTTTATTTTCATAACTTTCTTCTGAAGAATCTCTTCCTCAGTAACGGTTTCAAGATGTTCGTAAGATGGATGGGGCATTTGCATGAATCTTTTCAAGGGCCTTTATATATATATATATATATATATATATATATATATGAACCATTAGATTTCTCCTTTGTATTAGACCTGCTAACATAGAAAAAAAAAAGTTTCTGAAGCTATGCCATGGATATTCTCGACAAGCTGACAAAAGAGTTCTTCAAATTCTGTCCAAAAACTGCCTCTTCTCCTTCTTCTTTATCATTCTTCTCTTTTTGCAGGCTCCTTTATATTCTCTCTCTCTCTCTCTCTCCATTTCGTTTTTGTTTTTATAATATCATGCTGTCTTTTCAGTCAAAATGTTTCAAATATTTACATATTCATGTCGTATAACAACCCTGCCTATATATTTTTTCTTCTATATGTTAAATGGGTAATAATTTCCTGTTATTATTTCATATTATTAAACTTTATTTCTAATAATCCTGTGTGTTGCATTTTTGGAAATTGGAATAACGATCGAAAAATATATTTCCTGTTGTGCTATCTTATGTACTTAGCCTTTCAAAATCGGAATATAGAAAACAACAACATCGAAATTCAATACCTTTTGATAGTTTCTTCTCTGTTTTTTTTTTTGGGGGGTTGTGGAAAAAGCCGTTTTTGTTTGCATGCATACAGAACTAGGGTTAATATATGCACCAGCGTTGATTAATAATACTGTAATTAGCTAATAAATTAATGTTAGAAATATATAAACCCCGTTTCTTGATGCATGATTCCCATCATTCACCGCACACAAAAAGACATCATTATGAGCCCAATCCCTCTACATTTCCGTTTCTTTAATTTTGGAGCCTCTGTCCCAGGCCGAAGCTCCGTTATCATCTCTTCAATGCAAAACCTAACTTTCATGTTTTTCCTTTTTTTTTTGGTTCGGACATAAATCTAGGTTCTTATTCACCTCTTCTCCTCTTTCACTATAAGCCCTCATATCTTATGCCTTTGCATATATGTCTGCACGTAAATTTATGTATGTACATGCATGTATGTAAAGTATCATGCTATTATGCATGTGTATGTCTACATATGCATGTAAATGAACCGCATGGTGTATTAAGAGAGGTGGAAAATGAGTGGTTTCTCACCACAAAAATGAGAAGATGATTATACCTACAAGAATTTGTCGCCTATAGACTTTGATTAATGATAATTATTTTCTTCTAGAATCTCCATCTTTTTATTCCATTTCAATTTCTTTTCACATCTGCTTTTTCTCATTTCATAATTTTGTTGCTGGATATATAGAGTGGAAAAAAAGTTATATTATCTAATGACCTAATACACATGCATGCGTACATACACATACATAGATACATTTATACATACAAACTAATGATTGTGTTATTGAAATTGGAACAGACAGAATGGAATCAATGGAGTCTTGTAGCGTTCCTCCCGGATTCAGGTTCCATCCGACCGACGAAGAGCTCGTGGGATACTATCTGAGGAAGAAGGTTGCATCACAAAAGATCGATCTCGATGTTATCAGAGACATCGATCTCTACAGAATCGAGCCATGGGACCTACAAGGTAAATTATTATTCTTGCCATATATTGCTATGATAGAGAGTATACGCACGACTTTGATATACGTATATATATACGATTAGAACAACTGATGTGAATGGATCAAAATGGGATGATGGGCAGAGAGATGCAGGATCGGGTACGAGGAGCAGAACGAGTGGTACTTCTTCAGCCACAAGGACAAGAAATACCCGACGGGGACGAGGACTAACAGAGCTACAATGGCCGGATTCTGGAAAGCGACCGGCCGAGACAAGGCTGTCTACGACAAAACTAAACTCATCGGGATGAGGAAAACCCTCGTGTTCTACAAAGGACGAGCCCCGAACGGCCAGAAAACCGATTGGATCATGCATGAGTATCGGCTCGAGTCGGACGAGAACGCACCTCCTCAGGTACATATATATATATCATCAATTTCATATCCATTAAGCAAATTAATGTCATAAATTCTTACATATTTTGGACAGACTAATTGATTACGTCATAGAATCGTTTAGGATTTGTGCTTACTTGTTGTTGTTGGTCGGTTCAGTAGAATATATAGAAACTTCCGTGGGGTATAATTAATATAATATATAGTTTTCCTATTTAACGGGGACAAGACACTTTTGTTTTAATTAGGGTACTTTGTCTCACAACCTCTTTTGTGAGACACTTGCTGACTTTTAGACAAAAAGTCGTATGTCTTTAAAATTCTCCTTTAGACCAAAGTTCATTCTTCACTTGGGCTAGGGCTATATATACATATATATATATATAGATACGGTATGTCTCGAAATATATTCTTTTGATAACTTGTATGGATAAAATGTTAATTAGGTATGTGATGATACTCTCAGTTTCATCTTTCTCTAACTAGCTTCAGCATGTTTATTTTTAATATTGCATAGAACTATATAAGTGTATGAATTTGTGATATTATCAAAGTAAAAAATAAGCCTAGATTCTTGAGAAACTATACAGCATGCATATATATATATATATCTTAGCTTTTTTGTGGTCTCACACTTTTAAGGCATGGCCTTGCAATGCCTCAAAAGCGAAATTCCTTTTGCCTTCTTTGTGTTTTGACATTATCGTATGGACAAGAGATCAGTTCTTTTTATACCATAAAGAAAGAAACTAAACCTTGATAATAACACCCCATCATCTAATTTTTGGACTGTTTTCATAATAATCGAGTGACAAGATTACAATTATTATATGACCAATGTACCTGTAGGAGATTTTATTGTCATAATCTCGTCATTTTTCACATTACAGGAAGAAGGGTGGGTGGTTTGCAGGGCTTTCAAGAAAAAGGCAAATGGGCAAGCCAAGAACATGGGAAATTGGGGGACAAACTGTTTCTACGACAGTGGAGTGGTGAGTTCGGTCATGGCTCCGATCCATTACATATCTAATAAGCATCAGCAAAATATCTTGGACCGGAGTAGTTTCTTGATGTGCAAGCAAGAGCTAGAAGGGTTGGAAAGTGTGAACTTCATGATCAATTCCGACCCGTTCATCGAGCTCCCTCAGCTCCAGAGCCCTTCCCTCCCTCCGACGAAACGGCCTTCGAGCTCGATATCCATAACTTCTGATCATAACAATAACCACAGAAGCCAAGAAGAAGTGGATGATGAGAGCTTCAACGTTCTAATGAACGGAAACAAGAAGCAGAAGAAGCACGTGGCGACTTCTGATTGGAGAACATTTGACAGGTTCGTCGCGTCTCAGCTCATGAGCCAGGAATTGGACGGAAACCACAGCAACGGTCACGGTGATTATAACACTGAGATGGCCGAGACAATGGCTTCGTCGTCTTTGTTGATGGAAAGCGACAGAGACGAAGAGAACAGATTCATCAGTGGGTTATTACGTTCGAGCTCCGACTGCGATATTGGGATTTGCGTGTTTGATAAATGAACAACAAAATAAATACTTACAGAGTGCGGGCCGGGGAGGGAGATGAAGTGACGGAGTTGATATGTTTGGTACGTCGCTACGTAGAAAATACATTATATAATATTGATACTATATAACTACATATATTATTCACATACATACATTAATTATATATACTAGCTTTCCATATATATATATATATATATTACTTGTTATAAAAGATGAATGCTTTGTGGATGTGAAAGGAGTGACGATATAGAGCATGTACTGTTGTGTTGTGTATTTGGGTTAGGTTTTAATTTGGTTGAAATGTGAGATGGAAGGAGGAGGGAAATATATATATATAGACCAAAAAAAAAAAAAAGAAAAAAAGAAAAGAAAAGGAGGGATGTGATGTGATATTTGGTGGAACGGCAAGGCTTTGTGATTAGTCTATTTCATACACTTGTGGTGGACCTCTATATATGTCTACCCTTTGCAATCTATCATCTGATTCTCCCTTCATTCATTTCGTTGCTTTGTTTTTTTTTTTGTCCATAATTCCCAAGATGGCGCATTTTGTGACACGGGGCACTTCACTTCACTATGGGTAATCCAATTAAAGATTTGGAGAAATATTGGGAGTTATGGAGAATCATAAATAAAGTTGTAAATTATAGATTTTTTTATAGATTTCTCAATAAGTGAACATAGAGAACGGACGGGATGTGTTACACTTCAAGTTGTATGTACTTATACACACGCACGCAAACTATATATTTTAGGGGGAATACACACAATTAAATTATTACTGCATTTTAGATTATGAAAATGAATTGAGATTTTTTTTTGATAACCTGTAAATTCACCGTGTTTTCGGCCTAACTATATATGTTAGAGGATCAAGTCCATATGAATAAATCTCTCTAAGTGGATGCTCGAAAAAGGGTTAAATGCTAATCTATGTATATTCTTTTGTTACACACATGCATGTATCTCCTACGTTTTCCTATTTGTGTAGGATATATACGTGTATAACGAGCTATTATAATGCAAACTTAGCAAATTTGAAGGCGCAAGTTGAGTTTGCATATATATATATATATATATGTATGCATGTATAACGAGCAAATTTAACAAATTTGTTATGACGTTATAGTGTGTGTGTATATATATATATATATCAATTTGAATTTGTTATAGCGTTATATAACCCACTTTTCTTCTTTTTTGATTGAATACGGAGCCAAGATTGATTGACATTATGGGCGAAAAGGAATCAAAAGTAATAAAAGCTTTTTCAGGACGGCTTCTTGTTATTTACCAGTGGCTACGTTCCACGTAAACCAAAATAAAATTGCAATTTAGGAATAATAAATGCACCGCTTTTAATATTTACCAATTAACACAAATGATTAATTGTCTCCTTTAATACTGCCACGTTAAGATTGACACAAGTGTTACAAAATAACACGAGTGGTGACGTCACACATCTCCAAATGTATTTGAAAACGTTGTGTTCGGCCAATTAACGGAATATTTGGAATTTTACATCATACTATATACATATGTATATATTCATATGCTTTTTCTTCATAAGATGAGTTTGCATTTAATAAGTATGGTCAAAGATATTTGATTTGAACAATTAAGAACAAGTTTATTCCATTTTCGTTCTTTAAAGGTAAAAACAAAAGGGGGAAGAATTTGAGCCCATAACAAAAGCCAACAAAACTCAAGCGAAGAAGCAATACAGAATCTATCTATCTACCACCCAATGGCAATACAGACACAGCCACGTCAAAGAGTTTTTCTCAGTTTTGAAGATTAAGGGTATGGAGATATGAATCAAAAAAAGGAAGTGTAGAGCGAGGATTGAGGACCTGCAGAGGCGTTTCGAATTCATTAAGCTCTTTCGCCTCGGATATGACATATATATATATATATATATATATGACAAATAAAATAAGAAAGTAATATTTATCTATTTGTAATGCATGCATTGTTATTGAAATTTATTGTCCAAGACAAAATAATTTTGCCAAACGACATTATATATCAATTCAAATCCAACTTACTTCTCCTAGTGGATAAGGGTTTTTATTGGACCGCATGTATGCATATATATTATAAGTGTGAAATTCATAGTATTAATTAATGATCCATAGCTTCGACAATGTTATAGAAACTAGGGTTGTGTTGATCTTGTTTATAGGCTCGTAGGGATAATTAAACAAATAGGGAAGTGGGCCCGGGAGATGTCGAGCGTGCGGTTCGTTGGGCATGCTTTGTCGTCCATAAACAGTTCGTTCAAATGCCCTACCATTCCCACACACACACATATATATATATATATATATATATGTGTGTGTATACATATATGTATGTAATGTACATGTACATGTACCTACCATTGTATTTTTATTTACATCATTTAGAACATGGTTTTTATACCAGGGTTATGTGTTTTCCCTTTATTGGGGGTATTGGTTTAATATCATAGGGACACTTGTACGTATTGTTGTAAATATACGTAATATGTATGTGTGTTTTTTGTTCTATGTATTCAAGCATTTCCTATACTTATCATATGTGTATTTATATATATATATATATATAAAAACATGAACCGTGGATTGTATGCATGCATGCATGCATGCAATATATTTTTTTTGGTTAAAATTTGTATCATGTATGCAATATTAACAGGTTGTATTTGTATGTTCTTTCCTAACTCATTGGAAAATCATTCAAATTCACGTTTGAAATTAAGTTTTTAAAAACCGAATAAAAAGATGGATATTATTATTCATATATAAAACTTTACACGACAAAAATCCGCATGACTTTGGAATTAACTTTGGAGGGGACAACGTTAACTATAAATTGGTCAAACACATGCCAAATTTGGGGCGCCAAACCAATCAGTGGATTCACTTTTGTCTTAAGGACCAAAAAAAAAAAAAAGAAAAAAAGAAAAGAAAAGGAGGGATGTGATGTGATATTTGGTGGAACGGCAAGGCTTTGTGATTAGTCTATTTCATACACTTGTGGTGGACCTCTATATATGTCTACCCTTTGCAATCTATCATCTGATTCTCCCTTCATTCATTTCGTTGCTTTGTTTTTTTTTTTGTCCATAATTCCCAAGATGGCGCATTTTGTGACACGGGGCACTTCACTTCACTATGGGTAATCCAATTAAAGATTTGGAGAAATATTGGGAGTTATGGAGAATCATAAATAAAGTTGTAAATTATAGATTTTTTTATAGATTTCTCAATAAGTGAACATAGAGAACGGACGGGATGTGTTACACTTCAAGTTGTATGTACTTATACACACGCACGCAAACTATATATTTTAGGGGGAATACACACAATTAAATTATTACTGCATTTTAGATTATGAAAATGAATTGAGATTTTTTTTTGATAACCTGTAAATTCACCGTGTTTTCGGCCTAACTATATATGTTAGAGGATCAAGTCCATATGAATAAATCTCTCTAAGTGGATGCTCGAAAAAGGGTTAAATGCTAATCTATGTATATTCTTTTGTTACACACATGCATGTATCTCCTACGTTTTCCTATTTGTGTAGGATATATACGTGTATAACGAGCTATTATAATGCAAACTTAGCAAATTTGAAGGCGCAAGTTGAGTTTGCATATATATATATATATATATGTATGCATGTATAACGAGCAAATTTAACAAATTTGTTATGACGTTATAGTGTGTGTGTATATATATATATATATCAATTTGAATTTGTTATAGCGTTATATAACCCACTTTTCTTCTTTTTTGATTGAATACGGAGCCAAGATTGATTGACATTATGGGCGAAAAGGAATCAAAAGTAATAAAAGCTTTTTCAGGACGGCTTCTTGTTATTTACCAGTGGCTACGTTCCACGTAAACCAAAATAAAATTGCAATTTAGGAATAATAAATGCACCGCTTTTAATATTTACCAATTAACACAAATGATTAATTGTCTCCTTTAATACTGCCACGTTAAGATTGACACAAGTGTTACAAAATAACACGAGTGGTGACGTCACACATCTCCAAATGTATTTGAAAACGTTGTGTTCGGCCAATTAACGGAATATTTGGAATTTTACATCATACTATATACATATGTATATATTCATATGCTTTTTCTTCATAAGATGAGTTTGCATTTAATAAGTATGGTCAAAGATATTTGATTTGAACAATTAAGAACAAGTTTATTCCATTTTCGTTCTTTAAAGGTAAAAACAAAAGGGGGAAGAATTTGAGCCCATAACAAAAGCCAACAAAACTCAAGCGAAGAAGCAATACAGAATCTATCTATCTACCACCCAATGGCAATACAGACACAGCCACGTCAAAGAGTTTTTCTCAGTTTTGAAGATTAAGGGTATGGAGATATGAATCAAAAAAAGGAAGTGTAGAGCGAGGATTGAGGACCTGCAGAGGCGTTTCGAATTCATTAAGCTCTTTCGCCTCGGATATGACGGGCAAGTTGAACGTCCTTAGCCATGATGGTGACCCTCCTGGCGTGGACTGCGATGAGATTGGTATCTTCAAAGTTCAAACAGTCCAATCAGGTAGGCTTCCGCCGCTTCTTGGATTGCAAGAATAGCGTGGCTCTGGAACCTCAACTCCGTTTGATTCGAAGAACGAAAACGTTGGAATGTAGGTACTTTGAATGACTCAGAAATCTCACGGACGAAACGTTGGAAGGGCAGTTTCGGGATCAAGAGTTCCGTGCCCTTTTGGTACTTTCGGATTTCGCTGTCAGGAAATGGATGCTTCTTTCTCAGCAGAATTCTGATGGAGGGAATCAAACGCGAAAAGAGAGTTTCATTACCGGAGAGCCACGGTTCCGGGGCGGTAACGGCGAGGCCTCTTGACTCCACCTGCTGTTAGTGTTTTACCCCTCCTTGCAACCTTCATTTCATACAAGAGAAACCGATTATACACTTTTCCCCAGCTCGAACAACTTGTGATTACAGATTCAAAAGCCTAATAAATTCCAGAACGAAACTTTCCCACAAACAAATCTTCAAGAAACATAGCGCAATTGTAATGAAAAGTCTCATAATACAAATCGGAAGTCATCACTAGTAAACCTCCAACTACAAAGATAATCATCCTCACCAATACACCGCCCGCCACGATCTAGAGTTCATGATGTAACTTAATGCTAATTTCCAGATCACTATACAGAATTCCAAAGAACAAAAAAAAAAAATTGGAAGTAGCAGCCAGAAATCATCGAGATTTTATGGTTCGGAATGACAAGAGTATGAACCTAATCGATGGAATCATACGACGGCAACCCACTAGAACATGAATGTGAAATTGAAATTTGTAGCGAACAAAACAAATTCACGAAGAGAGAGAGAGAGAGAGGCCACAGCCGCGAGTTGCTTTCGCGGGCTCTTGTCGCCGGTGGATTTACGAGCGGTTTGCTTGGTACGAGCCATTGCAGCTGCGAAAAACACCGATCAAAAGAACAACAATGACGTCTTCAAGACCTTGATCCGAGAATTTTTAGGGTTTCGAGGACTTACAGGAGACGCGGCGAAGAAGATCCTACAAGACTGAATTTTGCTCTGTAACTAATTCCGTTCCGCCCCCTTTATATAGCCGCGCGGTTCAGTTAACCCCGCTCAAACCAAAACGGCTAAAATATAAATTATAATTAGCTCTGTTTAAACCAAGTTTAATATTCGCTAATTAAACAGAATTAACCGCTAATTAACCATGGTTAGCAACCGTGAGTTCTCTCTTCCCCATTTCTCATTATGCACCATGGATTTGTCTAAGGAAAAAAGAAATAGAAAACCCCCAAAAGAATAAATTACAGAAAGGAAAGTTTTTTTATTTATTTATTAAACCCTAATTATTTCAGAGATTATACACAAAGGTTATACTTCAAAAGCCGAAAGAGACACACCTGAAGAAGAGATAGTGACAAAGCTCACACAGAAGATGGAATCTGACAAAAGGAAACTAAAACTTTTTCTTCTGTAGGAAGAAGCAGAAGCTCTCATGGCTTTCTTAGCAGCCGGTGACTTGATGGACTTGAGTTGTCTGGGCTTTGCCTTTCGTGTCCGGCTTACCTTCTTCTTAGTGGCGACTTCGTGCTTGTTCACGGGCATCGTCTTTGCCCATGTCGAAGAAGATCGAGCCCTTGTCCTCGTCCTGGTCGAGGATCTCGGCTTCTTCGTTGTCTCTGACGCAAGCTTGTAAGAAGCTCTGATCTTCACGAGCTTGCCTTTCGTGGCCAAGATCTTCAGCTGCAAAGCTAGGGTTTTTCGGAAATTAGCCTTGAGTACGGACTTTTGTTTCTCCTCTACGAACTTGGCTATGGCGTATGGGCTCGATCCACTCTTCTCGTTCAGAGCCAACAGGGCATCCTTTATCATCTGCAAAACCACCCAAAAGAGAAAACCCATAAATAAAAATTCAATCTTTCTAACAAAATCAAAAGATCAGAAGAGATACGATACCAGAAAGTATGGAGGGTGAGTCGCAGTTTTCGGTTTCCGCGGCTTCCTCTCCTTTAAAGCCTTGGGTTTCTCCTCCTTTTTGCAGCTGCCGCCTCCGCCACCGCCGCCTCCGGCTTCTCCTCCGTCGCCGGATCCAATTCCGGCGGATGCTTAGATTCGATCTCCCCTTTGTCGGACATTACAGAGGATTGAGTTTCTCTCAACTTTGTCTTGTCAAAATAGATTGAGGTGTGATATTTTTGGCGCTAGTTTTTCTAACCCAAATAGCAGCGTGAATTGTACATCTGTCATAATACAATTGGTGATTGGAGTTTAAACCATTTCTTTTATCTAGATTCACTGTCTTCAACTTGTAATGTATTGCCAAAGGTTGTCTTAGCAAATTGCCACAAACGGGATATATATATATAATATTTGTTGTTGGTGTCTTGTTTTGTTGTGTTAGCCTGCATATTGAGCTGCTTTGTAGGGAGATCACGGTCGGTAATTTCTGGATCAAAGTCAAATTCGCCGATCATATTTTCCACGCCAGTTTACACGTGACAACGTGGCAGTCTTCGTTCACAGTAGATTGTGGTGAAAACAGTTAAAGGTGTGTGTTTTCTTTCGAATCTAAAGACTCGATTTTTGCAACTGTCCGTGAATTCTCTTCCCCAAAGTTTGGAAGTTTCATAAGCAATGGAACCCTTGCTTAGGGATTTTGTCTATTTTTTTGAGATCTTACTCTCACCAGATCAACATTTAAAAAAAAAAAAACCCAAGACAGAGATCTTTCGCACGTTGTGTTGTAATAATATCATCTTTAAGAGTTGCAGATGGTAACATGACCATTCTTCCTGGATGATTGGAACTGATAAGCAACAACTTAAAGATAAAAACCCTCAAAGCATTTCAGAAACCAAACCCTGACAGAGCAGAACAAACCCACATAGAGTAGATCACAAACTAAGAACACAAGACAATGAAGATCATCCCGGTCATTACCAAAGGGTTGCATATTATCAAGCTCTACAAGAAAATGGGAATTGATCGTATGTATCATATAGTGCAGAAATCAAGAACAATAACCAGAATCAACCCGGAACTTGTGAATTCTGGATCAACCAGTTCTCTTAATGATGTGAACGCCACTGTCCGTGTCAACAATGTCGCTTATCTCGCCCACTTTCAGACCGTATGTCGCATCCTCAAATGGTTTCTGCATCTGTCCTCGGCCAAAGGGGCCTGAAAACCGTGCAAGCAGCGTTAGATTTCAGTCTCGGAGTTGAAAATAACCAACAAGACTCATCGGAATCAGTATCAGATTGAAGAATGAACTGATCTATTCTGAAATCATATACACAAACGATCCTTGGGGTAAATCTATTTGTGAAATTGGAGCTTTATCTAATCATGTGTTTGTTTCACTGTAAAAGCTATGAAACATCCATACTTCCTATCTGCTTAAAATGAAAACTCGACAACACAGATCTGATTCAGAAAAATGGATAGGGAAATATAAGAAAAACCTAATCCTTGTGCCCTTTCTCTTTCAATTGTTTTAATAAATGCAAAACTATACAGGAAAAGATCTTTACAATTGCGATTGAAATCGATATTCAATTGGCTTAGCAAAATTTAATTGCCTCAATATCCACCCTGCAGATTAGTGTCATCTCCTACATCTTGTTCGTCACCGTATAGAACCTGGGTTTGCATCCTGGACCATGAGCCGCAAAAACCCTAAACTAGCCGATCTAATTCTACAGACTGCGAAATCAACAATCTGCGGTTGACCAAATCGATGTTTCATTTCCAGTAGAATCTTGAAAACGAAGGAAGACAAAATTACGACGGAGAGAGAAAGGGCAACGAGAGAGAGAACAAACCGAGATCTCCGCCGCGCTTGGCGGAGCTGCAGTCGGAGACACGAGTAGCGACCTCCTCGAAGTTTGCCTTGCCGGAGACGATGTCCTCGCGGATCGACCTGAGCTGCTCGACGGCGGCGTCTCTGGTGGTGGACATGATGACCTTGCCTTCCGGATCCTTCCACGACGCCTTCCTCCGAGATCCCTGGTGCTTTATCAGAATGTGAGAAGCCCTAACCTGGTCTCTCGCCGCCATTTTGCTCTTCTTCCGGTGATGATGGCGATGCTGCTTGTGTAGCTCCTCCTTCTTGATTCTCGGCCTCTCCTCCGTTCGATCTTCCGACGAGATCGAATCCTTCTTCCGTTTCCGATCTGAATCTATCTTCGCAGCTTTGTGATGAGATAAGAGAGAGAGTGCGTCTTTGAGGCGGCTCTTTTCTCTGGATTTTTTGCCCTAACGGGAAGCCTTTTTATATGGCTGATTAATTTTAATATATGGGTGATTACCAATTTAATTATCCTCCAAATCATTTCTAATTACATATTTATACAAAAGTAGTTATACATCACCTGGCCCTTTGTTCCATTTACCAATGAAATTAACATTTTAGTGTTTAGATTATTATATTATATTTCTACCAAAAAAATTTGTGAAAATTATTAGAGTACGAATATATCATACGATATGAGAACTATGTATGATACGATGTATTTATTGGATAAATGCATTGTTTGTTCATTATTTATTTTGCATATTTGATAAATAATGACATCTATGTATCGTTATGAATAATCCTCAATTCTTTAGTCGTTAGTCATTGTGGGAGACAATGATTATATATCCGATATTTTGAAAAATTCGATGATAAATTTGAACGGTTTAAAATCCTATTCTACATATAGAGATCTCGAATATTGAAATACCCGAATTTCAGTTTCGGACTCGGATTCAAAACCATTAGCACTGAATCGAGAACGAAGAGTTCGAGTTTCAACACGCAAGAACGCCGAGACAACAACAGTAATCTTCTTCTAAGCCTTGTCGGCCTTGGAAGCCGTGGCGGCGGCTTGACCTCTGAGACGACCGGTCCTCCTGGCGGCGATAAGACCGACCTTCTGTCCAGGAGGAGTGTCGCGTCTGACCGTACTGGCGTGACCGATGTGCTGATGGTTACCTCCTCCGTGCGGATGCTCGACCGGGTTCATAGCCACACCGCGAACCTTCGGCCAGCAGTTCCTCTTGACACGGAACTTGTGGTAGGCGTTACCCGCTTGGAGGAGAGGCTTCTCGGTTCTTCCGCCACCCGCGACTTGCCCGATCATGGCCCTGCAGCCACTCGGGACGATCTTCTTCGAACCAGACGGAAGCTTGATTCTGAGGAAAAAAAGACATGGGTTTTCAGTTCTGTAAGAACAGAAGTAAACCCTAATGATGCTTCGGACAAATTCATCACCCAATGAGATCCATAAAAGACAATGCTTGAACTCAGTCACGCAAGAGCAGGACATGGATCTGGGAACGAAGAACAAAAAGACTATGATGCATATCAACAAAGATATCCGAAGACATCGGCATTCGAATCAGATTCAAAGCCGACACATTCACAACCAAATGTTCCAAATCATAATCTCCACAAACCCAACAAATCCTCCACGGATTCTATAGCACACAAAAGCACCAGCAAATCATTTGAAGATCAGCAATGAAAAGGGGCATAGAAACAAACCTAGTGGTGTCGTTATCTGGGTTGTGAGCAATAACAATGGCGTAATCACCGGAAGCCCTAGCGAAAACACCACGATCACCGACGTGGTGTTCGACGTTGCAGACGACAGCTCCCTCGGGGATAGATCTGAGCGGGAGGACGTTTCCGACCACGAGAGACGCTCTCTTACCACAGTACACGAACTGACCAGTGTACATACCCTCGGCCGCTACGAAGAGCTCCTTCTGCTTCTTGTAACGGAACGGATGTCGGAAAACGACACGAGCAAGTGGCGCACCACGGCCAGGGTCGTGGATGATCTCGGTGACGACACCCTTGAGGTAACCGTTACGCTCGCCGAAGTCGAGACTCCGGAACTTGGCCGGACCCTTGCGGTGGTGGGTGTGAGACTTGAAGACGGAACCCGCACCCTTACGCTGAGCTCTGATGACTCTACCCATGGCGTCGTCGACGGCGGGGGAAGAGGAAGGAGATGAAGCGAAATGAAAGCTAGGCCTGGAGGGCTCGTTTCGTCACATACAAGCACGATTTTTTCATGGGATGGGCCCTCAAAACCATAATGGGCCTTCAAATTATATAATGGGCCGTTACAGTGAAATTAGATTGGTCCATCATTGGCCCATGTAATTTATTTCTTGAAGAGCAGATTTATAAAGAACTGCATTGGTAAATAAAATTCTTAAATGAGATGTGACAGGCAAGGTTCTAAAAACCTCGTATGGAAATTAAAAAGCATAATATCTGATATTAGAATTTTGCTCCAAACATCTAATTTAAAAATAGATCGGAATATTAGTTAGAATATTCATAAAAAAATGAAAAGCATTATTTGTACGATTTGAGATGGGCCTACGTAATCTAAGCCCATATCCAATTGAAGGCCCAAAAGGAAAAAAAAAAGCCGGGAAATCGCGATTTTTGAATCCTTGGATCAGTCAAAATCATAAATACGAGACTAATCACGTGGAGGTACCACGAGTTTATCCATGCACCAGCACACAGTCTAACGCTACTCCTCGTATAATCTGCATTTTATTCGCAAAAACATTTATTTGTTTTTTTGCGTTTTCGGAAAAAACAAATAAATGCACACAATAATTGAAAATTAAATTTAAAAAAACAAAGTTCAAAAGCGACAGCCCAGGCGCATATTTCACCCACCCGCTCCTCCCCCTTCTTTCTGGCACACGCTCCTCCCACTTTCTCCTCTCTCTCTCTCTCTCTAGATGTTCTTCGTTCTACGTGCGCTCTGAGTGTGAATCGTCTCTTTGGTACGTCGCTTTTGATTACGTTTCATGTTTTTTTCGTTTCTTTTCCTGCGATTATGATCGTTGGTGTGGAAGCAGAGTAGCTTGAAGACAGTAGTGTGATTCTTCGGTTTGAAAATTTGAATGCAGCGTTCGGTTTTTGGTTTGTGTTCTGAATTCGGACATTTTAGCTGCCGGTGATCGTGTTTTACGTTAAAATTTTCGCCTCATGTTGTGGGAACTTGTATGTTGTTTTGAATGTGTGTGCGTGCGTATACGCTCACCCTTTCCATAAGCGAAGCTCGTAAACACTTGCATAAGCGTTTCTCATGAGTTTGTGACTTGTGATTGCATATTTGAGATGGATTTGGGGCTTATTTTGGGCATTATATGTTTTTTTCTCGACAAGAAACAATTATTGTCAATCATTCACCGCCCAAGAGAAGAAAACAACGAAACAGCGATTGTCGAGATGTGGAAAAGTGTTGCCTTTTTTTTCAGGGATAGAAAGTCTTGCCGGTTTCATTTGGTGAAAGTAACGTTAAGGAGTAGACTTTTTGTGGTGTGTTATTTCTATTCTTGGATTTTAGCCCAATTCGAATTGCTTTCATGTTCCTCCAGTACGGTTCTTTGTTTTATTGCTCATTTCTCGCTTTTTTATGTGCTCTATGGATTCGCAGATTGTTTGTTTTAGGCTGCGTAGAGCGAGATGGAGGGTCGGGTTTGGCCATGGAAGAGAAAATCCTCCGACAAAACTACAACGGAGAAGCCAGTAGTAGCTGCGTGCGACTCAGTTGGTGTTTCTTTGTCCTCCTTAGCATCTCTCGAAAATCAGGTGAGCTAATTAGGCTCGAGCTCGGCATGAGATTGTTGCCACATTATGTTATGCTTTGCCTTTATTGTTTTGTCTGGTGTGTTTTGAGATTGAACATGATCAGCAGAAGAAGTTCGAGCAAGTCTTGCTCAAATCATGAATCTGATTGGAGTTTAAACCATTTCTTTTATCTAGATTCACTGTCTTCAACTTGTAATGTATTGCCAAAGGTTGTCTTAGCAAATTGCCACAAACGGGATATATATATATAATATTTGTTGTTGGTGTCTTGTTTTGTTGTGTTAGCCTGCATATTGAGCTGCTTGTGTTGTCTAATGTTTGCTTTGTGTGACAGGAGAAGTGTAAAAACACAAACTATGTTCAGATTACTATGGAATCCTACACGCATATGGGTAGACTTGGAGATCAGGTCAAATTGCTTGAGGATGAAGTTAAGGATCTTAAAGAAAAACTCTCTACTGCACACTCAGAGATTAAGACTAAAGAGAGTCTGATACTGCAGCATGCCAAAGTTGCTGAAGAAGCTGTTTCAGGTAAAATCCAGATAAACCACCAATCTTTTTCTCTGGATATTGACGAGGAAGGAAATCAGAAAAGCCGGTTTTTGTATTCGTTCATGTTTTGTCTTCATGGGCAAGTTATATGGAATGTGGTTTTAGTGTCCTGCTTTGCCTACTAGGATGCAACTTGCTTTGTCTTGCTTTTACTCTGCAAATCATGCATATCACTCTTAATGCTGATAAGTCCTTTTTTTTTTCAGGATGGGAAAAGGCTGATGCGGAAACACTGGCACTCAAATGGCAACTTGAATCTGTCACGCTCTTAAAGCTTACGGCAGAGGATCGAGTGTTACATTTGGATGATGCTCTGAAAGAGTGCACGAGGCAGATAAGAAATGTGAAAGATGAAAGTGAGCAGAGGCTGCATGACGTGATTCTTGCTAAAACTGTTCAATGGGATAAAACAAAAGCTGAGCTTGAAGGACAAATTGATGAATTGAATCAAGGACTGCTACGAGCAGCTGCTGATAATGCAGCACTCTCTAGATCGTTGCAAGAGCGATCAGAGATGATAATCAGGATCAGTGGGGAAAAATCTAAAGCAGATACCGAAGTGGAAATTCTCAAAAGCAATATCCAGTCATACGAGAAGGAAATTAGTTCACTGAAGTACGATCTGCATGTAGTTTCAAAGGAACTCGAAATTCGCAATGAAGAAAAGAACATGAGCATAAAGTCAGCAGAAATGGCAAATCGACAACATCTGGAAGGAGTGAAAAAGATAGCAAAACTAGAAGCAGAGTGCCAGAGGCTCAGAGGGCTTGTGCGGAAGAAGCTTCCTGGTCCCGCTGCTTTGGCACAAATGAAGCTAGAAATTGAAAACTCAGGGTATGAGTTCGCAGACTCTCGCTCACGCAGAAGCGGGTTTCAATATCCTGGCCACAATGCACCACCAAAGCCAGACATTTCTGCTGATAAGTTGGAGTGCAAAAAAGACAACACACATTTTAGTAGATGTATGTTGGAAATGGAGGAAGAGACAAAGACACTTAAAGAACTTCTGGCTGCTCGTAATAGTGAACTGCAGGTCTCGAGAAACCTATGCGCTAAGACTCTTGGAAAGCTTAAGATTCTGGAAGCACATGTCGAGATGCTTAAGCATGATAAGATTACTCCAAAATCTTGCAAAACAAATCAATCTGAAAGTCCCTCCAGTGGACATGCTACCTATCCGCCTAGTGCCACCTCGATATCTGAAGATGGGTTTGATGAAGATGGAAGTTCCTCTGAATACGGGCCACCAATGTCATCAGATTCCAACAAGGTAGCAGTGTCTAGGAGTATCAACAGTTCCAACAAGCCTGAAACTTCTAACAGACTGGAGTTAATGGATGACTTCCTGGAGATAGAGAGATTAGCGGCAAGTGATGCAGATGGAGCTGTCTCAGCTTCAAATTCTTCAAACAGCACCTGCAGTAGTAAAGTCATAGACAAACTCCCTGCCAGTGACTCCGAGCAAGATCGTGCCCAAGCAGAATCATCAATGGAAAATATTAAAAGTAGTGCACATGATCAGCTGTTTTCAGTGATCCATTCAAGAATTTACAAGGTTTTTGAATCTCAAGAGGGCATTAGTGTCAAGAAAGTCATCGAAGCTGTGAAACTTGCTATCCAGGAGGTGCAAGAGTCATCGTCCCAGCAACTCTCTGGCTGTCTGATTGACATTTCTTGCATAGATGCTTTCCCTAGAGCTGGTGATGAAACCGGTAAGGAGCATAGTTTGTTATCTCAGAATATTGAACGTGGCAACAATGTGGTCAAGCCTACAAAACAAGACTTGGATGCAGCTATATCCCATATCCACCGCTTCATAATATCAGCTGTAAAGGAAACAGCACAACTTCATGAGATGCATGAGCAAGGACTGAGTGAGAGCTTAGATGACTTCTGTGCATCAGTGGGTAAATTTCCAACAGGTGAATCAAGCCTTGTTGACATTGTTATAAAGCTCTCTCACATTTTGCGTCTAGCCACTGATGGTTCCCTGGGTTTCAAGCATCATAGTAATGAGTCCTCTGCTATGGACTCCACAGTTTCTGAATGCGTTGACAAGGTTACATTGCTAGAGAAAAGGGTCGATGAACTGAATTCCGATGCATCAGGAAAGATATTCATTGATAGGGCTGGTAATCCATGTTCTAAGGAAGAGATTCCACATGATAACAATGGTCTTGATCTGGATGATACATCATGCAAGAGCTTGTTGCAAGAGCTGGAGCAGGTGAAGCTGGAGAAAGATAACGTCTTGCTAGAATTAGAAAGGTGCTTGCAGAAGCTTGAAAGCTCAAAGCCGGAGTTGGAAGAAAAAGAGAAGCTCATATCAGAGCTGAAATCACAGCTCACTTCCTCAAGAGACCTCCTCGGCCTGGCAGAAACCCAGCTGAAATGTGTGACCGAATCCTTTAAATCCCTCGAACTCCGAGCCGAAGATCTAGAAGCTGAAGTTAGACGTTTGCAATTAAGGACAGAAGATCTAGAAGTCTCTCTCTCGAAGGAAAAGCATGGTCATGCATGTACTCTCGCCGTATGCAAAGAGCTTCAAGAGAAAATGCAGAGGTACTGCTTAAATGTTCAATGTGTTGATCTACATCCAAAACAATCAATTATACTTTCCGCTACAAAGTTTTTTGCTGTTAATCTAACCTTGATTCTCATATTGCAGGAATGACACTTGCAGAAAGTGTTCATCGCCCATGTCTCAAACCCGACTCCAAGATAAACAGGTACACTTCCTTAGTAATATCTTTCTCGTTTTCGTCTAGCGTTTGGTCACCGTTTCATTACAATTACTTGTAATTTCCACCATAAAAATGATACAAAAAGTGATCCGGTGAGTTGCTACAAGACATTCTGAAACTAAAACAGGGGAGAATGAAGCAAAAAGCATTACTTACCGTTTTCTGTTGTGACAGGAGAAAGAGATAGCATCAGCAGCAGAAAAGCTAGCAGCTTGTCAGGAGACTATTCACCTTCTCAGCCAGCAATTGCAAGCATTGAAGCCACCGACCAAATCACAATCCCCCGAAAAGCTTAAAACGCAAGTTAACTCCGAAGGGTATTCCCCGGAATTGAGAGAAAGGGACGGGAAGGAAAGCATCAACGACATTTTGGCGTCAACTGGCCATGAAAACACCTCTGATTCTGCATCGAATGATTCTGACATGGCTCGTTCTTTTAGGTACAGGGCGGACTCAGCTCAACCCGTTCATGCAATCATCAAGTCTAGTTCGTTTTCTTCATCTTCCAAAGGAGAGAACGAGAAATATACTCGAGGGCTTGGCAGATTCTTTTCGTCGAAAACGAAGAGTGGACGTTAAAGCACTCATCATAATCATGCAGGGCATTTGTGAATTCTACATCACGTCTGGTTTTTTTCCGTACATTCAGGGGATAACATTCTCGTTATCCTCTCTCGCTCTTTCCC